CAGCTTTGTGTTTACAGAAGGGAAGGATCTAACCTGAGGGTTGCATAGCTCTCCGATTGTCTCTCTGCGTCTTTGTAGAGACAGCAACATGTTCCCAGATCCTTGCAGCAAATGTGTACACCGAGTTATATTCATGCTAAATAATGGACAAACTATGACTGCTTTTATTTATCATATACATCAGAGTTGTAAGAAGTGAGTAGATTGTGTCTGTATACTGAGACCTGCAGAAAAGACGGTGATTTTGATAATTGGACAGACAGTGAGAGAAGAGACCCCCTCTGAGAGCCAAGCAAATACATCAGCTGGTTCTAATCAGTAGACTCTATTAGTCAGTACAGGCACAATGTGAGGTCCTGAATCATCCTGTTGTATTTCCTGTAAAAACACATTCTAAGGAAGGACTCTGCCGATAATTTTTCCAATCACAGCATCCTTTTTCCCCTTTTCTGAGCTAATGACAGCGAATACTTCTAGGATTTTGAATACAGTAGTAAATGACAAGAATATCACAGCAATGACTAAAATAAATGGAAACCCTTGCTGCATATTTAATCTGCTCAGCAGCTTTGAGTGTTCAAATGCATTTAACAGATGCCACTTCCTGTCTCAGGTGACGTGATTGCCACTGCTCAAAGAAAGCTCTCCTCTAACTGAACTGTTATTTCCAATAAACTTTCAAACTCAACACTTTAACTTACAAATTCTTAACACAACCTGTTCTCCTCCCTTCTGGTACAGAGCACTGTACACCAACATAAGCAGACATCTACAGTTTCTCTCCACCGGCTGTCACGCTGATGAACACTGTATTTAAACACACCACACCTGCTGCTGTATCACACTGTACATATTATTTTTATTCTGTTGTACATCTTTCTCTCACGTATATGCATTCATAGTTAATCCTCCTGTATATAGTAGGTAAGAGCCCAATTCCTTGTATGTGTACACGTACTTTCTCTGAGTGAACATCAGATAATGTCGAGGTGACTGTTGTTGTGATTTAGCACTGTTTATAAATAAAAACGAATGAATGAACAGATTTAGCTATAAAATCATACCACATTTCATTGGTTTGAGTCGATTACTATTATTATCTTTATTAGTATTTTTAGTACTCTATACAATCTTCTTTCCTCCCGTGTTAGTCAGTTTTGAACGCAGGATACAAATCCCTTGAAATCTCAATGTCATTTGGGAATTTAAAAATCGAAGCTCCATCGGCAGCTGCACTGAAAGCAGTCTGTACACAGCTGGATTTCATCCAAGGTGGCCAGAAATGATTTCTTTAGTGCATTCAGGAATTAGCAGTACAAAGGGTGACTGATGGCCATTCCACAAACAAGGCCAGTGTCACAAAACAGCTGCTACAGCCACTCTCTGTGTAACAGTCACAGGGTTTATGGAGTGTGACATTATTTCAATGAACTATTACAAGCATTATATTTTTAAAATGGTAACAAGAAACAAGCATGAAAGAGGGTTTTGTTCAATCGCAGCTCCACAATTCTGCTCCAACACAGCGAACTTATGTTCAGCATTTTTCTGTAAATTGTGTCTCCTTCTGGACATTTATGTAGTTTCCCTTCATTCATTGCTGACTGAGGCAACCACACTTATAAAACACAGGTAACAGTTATGAGCAGAGATGTGAAACTGAGTCAAATTCC